AGAAAAAACAACTTTCCTCCATTTCATCAAGCATATCGTTTGGTTACAAGTTTTTGTGCATCAATTCTTAAGATTAAAAATAACATCACTGGTTATCCATTAAACATAGCTAAATATTTCACTTTCGTTGAGCATTATGTGTTCAAATTACCATTAATATTCTTTCATTTGTAACAGCCCTTATTTCCTCGAATCCATAATTATCTATCAAGTAACAATATGTCTTTAAAGTATTACAATATCGCCTATCTCTAAAGAGAAAAGGCAGAGATTAGAACAAAAAATTCCCATTAATTTATGATATACGTTCATATTTTCAATTGACCATAATGTCACCAATCATCCAGAGTCTCTTCTCATCTCTTCTATCTAGTCTCTTCTTAAAAGCCTCCAGTGATGGAGGGCCCACGATTTCTGAAGGCAGGCTGTCCCACTGGTTAATTGTCCTCACTGTTAGGAAGTTTCTCCTTAATTCCAGGTCGCTTCACTCTTTGATCAGTTTTTAAACATCATTTCTTGTCTTTCCCTCTGGTACCTCGGAGAATAATTTGATCCCCTGTCCTTTGTGGCTTATTGGAATCCTGCTATCATATCACCCTGCAATTCCTCTTTTATTTAGACTAGCCAAATCTTAGATACGCTGGTATCATTGTGTAGCAATGCACAATGGAGGCTTGCATTTTCCTATAAGGGAGGCTTGCATTTCCTCAAGTACAAGTAGTCCTCGACTTACAACGGTTCATTTAGTGACTGTTCAAAGTTACGACGGTGCTGAAAAAAGCTACTTATGAAAGCGTTTTTCCTACTTACTCACTCACTTACTTACTCAGACGCTGGGCAACTGGTTCACATTTATGACCGTCACAGTGTCCCAGAGTCATGTGATTCCCCTCTTGGAACCTTGTGACAAGCAAAGTCACTTAATAGATTCACTTAACAACTACGTCACTAATGTGAAAACTGTACTGATTCACCTAATAACTGTAAGAAAGGATGTAAAATGAGCAAAATTCACTTAACAAATGCCTCAGTTAGAGCAACATAAATTTTGGGTTCAATTCAGTGGTGGGATTCAAATAATTTAACAACCGGTTCTCTGCCCTAATGACCAGCTGGGTAGGCGGAACTCAGTGGTCATGTGACTGGGTGGGTGTGGTCAACTCAATGTCACGCAAGTCAATGGGCGCGCTTCGCCTTACCTGTGACAGTGTCATCAGGGTTAAATGGAGAGGCAGTTTCTGTAAGCAGGACAATAAAGATGAGGTTAGAAACAACACCAGAATGTTTCCTTCCTGCCTTCCTTACAGGATTAGCCCTGTAAAGTGGGGAAAAAAACAAAAGGAGATTTCTTCCAACAACCAGTTCTCTGAACTTCTTAGAAAGTTAACAACTGGTTCTCCCGAATAGGTGCGAACCGGCTGAATCCCACCACTGGTTCAATTGTAGTTGTAGGTCAAGGATTCCCTGTAATGTAATGTTAGACAAGCTGGGTCCTAGGCGTAGATCTGTCTGGATTCAGAAATACCATAATAGTTTTCCACCGCCATTCCGAAACACTTTGTCAACCTTATGACAACATACCCAATACATCTATAAACCGGATTATGACATATACTGGGTCATGTATAGGTTTTGGCGTATCATTTTAACTGCACAATCGTGTCTTATAATGCGGGTTTAGGTAATGGACAGTCCTGTTTTTTTTATTTGTGTGGTCCACAGGTGCTCTGGTTTCACTTTTTGCTTTTTAAAATGTTTTTATGTGATTTGTTGCTAGTACTTTTTCTACAGCAAATGTTAAGCCTTCTGTTTCCTTCCTGGTGGCTCCAACTTAAAGTCATTGCCAAATTT